CTATTTAGACTAAATATTTGTCTTTTTGTGTTATAATTTGTAGTCATTCTAGAATAATTTATATTTATTTCCTAATTTTTTATGGTGGATACGAAGTCGGTCAAATCTACTTAACCCATACAGAGATACAGTAGTGAAAATAACAGATAAATTAATAATTGTTTCTAAAAGAAATGTTTGATAATTATCTGGAGGTTATAAAGATTTGGCAGGTGAAATTTGAAAATTTTCTGATACATAAAAGTATTTTTAATCTTAAAATGAAAATTACTTTGCATGTTGGACAGTCAACATTCTAAAAGAAAAAGGCATGATAAAAACTTTACTTAAGAAATCTTAAACTTAATAAAAAGATATAAAAAAAAATTCCGTACAAAGGCATTGTAATGTTTACTGATAATATGCAAAATTTCATGAAGATATGCTTACTAGTTTAAAGGTTATAGCATGAAAACTATAACAAACAAAATATGGTTAAGAGCTTTGTACTTTGGACTGAGCCAGTGCTGAAGGAGATAAAATTCAGCCTCCTGTTTCAGTGAGGTACACTCTAGGTTGAACCTAGCAAGCAAGCACCAGATCTGTACAAAAACTTGAGGTTTGTTAATCTAATATGTTGAAGAACAGGTATAACGATTTGTTTCTAATGAAGTGCGAGAAGCAACAGTATTTAAATAAAGAATGAAAATAAACATACTTCAAAATTAAAAAAGTGCTAGGATAATGCAGAATTTTCACAACAAGTCTTGGCTCTCAGATCAAAGATGAAACTATCCTCAAAGGTTGGAACAAATTTGGTATGAAAGCACCAAAACTTGGTTCATAAAATACAATCTTTCTCTAGCTGACCAAACAGAAAATAGGTACCAGAATGCAGAAGTATGTGCTCCATGTGACTGTCACCAGGTTAGTCCTCCGTACATAAGCTAAAGTAGCATACAATGAAAATGGCCTATGAAATAGCAGATATGTTTTTGACCTAGGCAGTCTCCAAGAAAATAACATCTCACACTGACATGGGCTCAATATGTTCCAAAGCATATGTTAGAAAAATTAAAAAATATTGTAGATATGAAATATATATATATATGTATGTAATATTTTAAAAATCCTTTCATATTCTGAAGAAGAAGCATGTTGATAAACTGTCCTTAAGCCCAGTTTTTATTAATTCATTGGGTTAAATATTTAAAAAAAATTGTATTACTGGAAAAAAATTAGCTTTATTCCATTATCAAGGTTATTTATAATAGTAGATTTGAAACCAAAATTAGCATACTGCTAAATGCTTTCACCACTGGCCCCTGCAATTTGCAAGGCACCATGTATAAATTTCACTTGTGCAACAATACATACTGTAACAGTGAGATTTCTTAATGTATTCTCAAAAAAAACTGGTAAGATTTTGAGTATAAGTATCTTGTACACAAAGAATGACATTATTTTAATTAGATGTTTCTACCAAAAATATTTTATTGAACTATTATAGTTATTTGCACTAAACTCTTAATAGTTCAAGCTCAGAATAGTTTTCTTCACCTTATAGCATTCATAATTTATTTGCATAATCTCAAGAATCTCGTCAATGAATATTAAAAGTATTTTAAGGTTAATGTTTATATTTTATTTTTAATTTTCTATACAGTATCACTAACTGTAGATAAACATACAATTCAATGAATTGTTTAAAATTAAGAAATAGAAAAAAATGTACATTGAAATTGAAATGTCAATAGAGCAAGTTAATTGTCTACACATACATCAACAGGACTGGCATTATATGAATCAAGAAAGGAAGTATGAAAATTGATAACTTTCATAGCATATGAGTCGTGTGACAACACAAACTGAAGTTTATGTATTTTTTAAAGGTTTCTTTTGAAATAAAGGAATTAAAACATAGATAATATAGAACTTCAAATTATACATTATAATGTTAAATTCATTCACATTTATTGATAGAAAAGTTTTTTAATTAAATACAAACTCAGTGACTTGTTGAGAAGTGTTTAAAAGGGTAGTCGTTGTGAAAGGGGGTACACAAATTTTTGAAAGAATTTGAGCAGTTGAATATTCAGTATTTTAAAGAACTATTCCAAATTTTGTGAATGAAACAATGTATAATTTTACTGCTATTTCATTGAGAATGTATTTTAATTTAATCTACTTGTGTAAAATATTAGTTTCATCAAATAACTATAAATGTAAGGAATAAAGATGCTTTAAAAGTTACACTCCATCAGCTGTCATTGTCTAAAAACAAGTACAACTATTGTTACAGTCACACTGAAAATGCATGAGAGGTAATAAATAATACTTCAGGAATAAAAAATTCACACAGAATTATTGGTTAAAGTAATTGGTTTGCTTATATATGTATCTTTTTCCAGGGATACCTTTTCATCTCTGTGTTGATCAGTGCCAATAATGAGTTAATGAAATTGATCATCCAGTCTATTAAGAATGACCTATCATCTCGAAACCCCATCCACGTCAACCTTGCTTTACAGTGCATTGCTAACATTGGTAGCAGGGAGATGGCAGAAACATTTGGATCTGAAATTCCTAAACTACTAGTCTCTGGGTGAGTTTAATTGCTTATTACTTTCTGCAACACACAATGTACAGGTATTAATGGACCTACAAAAAACAACATTCATCTATCATAATGAAGAAATACTGTTCCTTATTACCTTACACATTAGTTTCACTTATTCTAACCATTTTTCAAAGGAACAGAAGAAACTTGTTTGCGGCTGGCAATGTATTATAACCAGGGCTTTTTTTTTAGATGGGATGCACCGGTACGGCATACCAGTACCATTTTTCATATTGTAAAATGGAGAGAAAGGTGATAAAACTTGAAAGAGTAATGTAAATGAATGTGTGAATTCTCTCCTTTGAACAAATCTTTTGTTCACAAGAAGACCAAAGAGACACTGAACTAGAAGTATTACAAATGACAAAGTTTAAAAGTGTGTGAAAACATACTGTTTGTTTGATCATGATTGTGTGATCATCAGTGCAGAGTACAATATGTGAAGCATCAGGTAGGATTAGCATGCCATTAATAGGGAACATCAATGGTTACCTGGTTTTAACACCTACAAGATGTGGCTGCTATCAGTCTATGTGTGGTAGTGGCCTCACTTTGATTGATAGGTTTCATTTGGGCAGAGGCAGGTAGGAGATGGCCTGGGTGGACGCAAAACTGAGTTCAAAGAGACCGCTTGGGACTGGTATGTGGGTTTGGGCTGTACACTTGTTCAAATAAAATAAGTCACGAAGTGGACGAAGATGAGTGACTTCATTAATTGCACAGCACCTTCTCAGCCAAAATACAAATATGCGTGTGAGTAAATATGCGTGGGAGTAAATATGCGTGGGAATAAGTCGTTTTGGTCCAACATGCTCAATTGATGGTAGTTTGAATGGATGTGTTTCTCTTCTACTGTGCTTTGAATTTATTGTGACCGGGAGTGTATATCATTTTTATTGCATCTTGAGAAAACACCCCAACATAAAAATGAAATGAATTACAAGTTTCTTTTCACCTTCTGTGAATAAGAAAGCTAGAATAAGTGAGGAAGTGACCCAAGAACAGGAATTAATAGCGTCGGTTACTGTTTCTGGTCCATCTGGTGTCCACGAGCTATCTGACAATGACTGGCCTAGCTGCTGGACTACTGATCAAAAACATTATTTTTGCAGGAAGTACGATTAGCTAAATATTAGAAATAAGAAACTTGGTGGTACACCTTGCCATAAAATTGGAATTTTTAGACTGGAAACGAAGGCAGGAATGAAAGTTTCTAAAGAATGGACCAACAATGAAATAATTTATTTTGGAGAAAGTCAAAAGCAACAGCTTCTGTCTTTGCAGAAAAAAACTTTTCAATCACCAGGAAACCACGGGACATAAAGCTGCAGTAAAATTGCTTGCTGAAGCTGAGAAAGAGACCATTGAAAACGTGAGTTTGAAAGCATTATCTTGCGAAAAAGTGATTACTGCAAGAATTTTTCACACAGCATATAAGGTAGCAAAAGAAAACCAATCATTTCATAATTTTGAATCTGAAATAGACTTAAAAGAACTAAATGGAATTGACATGGGCTGTATCCTTCATTTAATGAATCCATGTATTAACATCATGAATTAAATTAGTGATGAAATTAAAAAAATACTAATTAATATAGTTACTAAATCGAAAAGTCAATTTCTTTGAGTAAAAAATTTACCGTAATAGTGTACATTTGAATCTGTATCCTGGATAAGGGACTGGACTCACCTGTAAATTAACTTTTGGACTTGATCAAATTTGAAAATGTTACTGCAAAAGGAATTTTTGATTCTTTACTCAATTGTCTTCAGTTTTAGAGAATGAATGAAGACTACCTGAAAAGTTATTTACTTTGTGTGGCATGTAATGGTGCAGCCATGATGTTGGTGAGTAAAAGTGGAGTTAAGAAACTGTTAATAGACAAATTTCCTTTTGTAATTGTGTGGCACTGTGCTAATCATAGATTAGAACTGTCAGTCGGTGACATTGTAAAATCAGTCTCAGGAGTCAATAGATTTAAAGCATTTATTGATAAACTTTGTCTTGTATCACACATCACCTAAAATAGCAGAGAACTGAAAGTGTGCACGAACTTGCTGGAGAGTCAACTTTTAAAAATTGGCCAGATGCTCATTTAACATTTGGCGATATGGAGGTCAGAAGATTATCAATAATACTTTAGCTATATGAAAAGAGATATAATTTGTGGATTTCATCAGTATTTGGTTGAAAAGACAGTTCCAGAAAATTTTCAGCATTTGAAACATGCTCTTAAGTACTATTCCCATTTCTTCCAGTGAATGTGAACGAGGGTTTTCACAGATGAAGTTGATTGTCATCCCAACCAGAGCTTTGTTGATGACAAAAACCATTTCGACACTTTTATTTATTAAACTTGTTGGATAGCCCCTTCCACGCTTTGACCCAAAAAAATACGTAGAGTCATGGTTGCTCTGAAAACATCACTCAGCAGTATAAACCAAAAGCAAGGAACAAAGTGGGGATATTACGTCAGATGAAAATATGGAATTTTCTATAAAAAGGTAATTCATTATGTTTTCATCTCGTAATTTCTTGCATATACGAGTACTGGTACCTTGCTTTTATATATATACACACACACACACACACACACACAACAAAACAAAAAAAAAAAAGACACTGATTATATCCATAAAATGAAAAATTCAGGAAAATGATGTCAAATGATTTTATGATGTCTTTTACAAAACATACTAAACTGAAATTAGTTAAAATTTGATCTTGTTTATACAGAAAACTTAACAAAGATGCATGCATCACATTGGTATTTGGATGATGTGGCCCACAGTTGTTTCAACTGTATAATTTTGTATTCTTTGCAGAAAATAATATATGAAAATGTTGGATTATTTAGCATACATAATGTAGCTGTAATACACAGTTGTTTTGTTGTTCTTTTTAATCTCTAAAATCAGATTTTAGTGGTCTCATTGAGCAGATATTCAAAGTATGAAAGGTTCTAAACATTGGTAGTTGATAAGCACTAAGTGAATGATCATTGTAACCTAGTTATCACTAGTTTTAAAGTAATAGTGTAATGTTTCCAAACAAAATCTCAAAGCATATATTTATTGATGAAAATGTGATATATAATAAGCTTAAACCAAGAGACTGGCTTTGTTGTTTAGGGATACAATTGATGTAGTCAAACAAAGTGCAGCACTCTGCTTGTTGCGACTGCTCCGGACACTGTCTGATATAATACCCAGTGGTGAGTGGACTTCTAGGATTGTGCATCTTCTCAATGATCAGCACATGGGAGTGGTAACTTCTGCTGTTAATCTCATTGATGCTCTAGTGAAAAAAAATCCAGATGAATATAAAGGCTGTATCTCTTTAGCTGTTTCAAGACTTAGTAGAGTAAGTTTCTAAAACCTTGTGTATGTTTGTATTATGCTGTAGAGTAAGTTTTTAAAACATTATCTATGTTTGTATTGTGCTGAAGATTATTATTCAAATGCTTTTTAAGTCATTAATTAAATTGAACCTCTTAGTTCTTCATACAGCTTCTTAAATGCCATTTTCAAGTTTACAGTTTACAACAAAAGCAGTGATATAGTTGAAGATCTGTGGTAGACATATTCATATGTTAATGAGCAGTAAGACAAGTGTCAGTAACTGATTAGGGCCAAAAAATTCATCATTTTTACAACAAGGCCATTTAGGCTTAGATTTTCTCTCATTTTCAAAGGCACTAAGGCCACAGTACATGTTAATGTTGATGGAATAGAAATGAGTTTCCCAATTAATTTAGTAAATATGACATTGAGGGCTTTGGAAGCTGACCTATCCTTCCAGATTATGTTTGTCAGATATCATGCTGATCTAGAATGTCCTGTGACCTCAATAAGATTCTTAGTTTTTGCCCACCCCCTCCAACCCCAAATGATGTTTGACCTAAGAATTGTATACAACTTTTATGCACCTCTATCTATTTATTACTTTGTCTAACTTTGAGAATGATCAGACAAAATCCCTGGGAAGAGAAGAAGTTTAACGACTTAATTTCCGCCAACAAAATTCAACCTCAACATGTCTGACTAATTGACCATGATTGACGAAAATCAGTTACACAGTCCCTGAACAGCAGCCCTTTAAAAATCTTGACAGACAAACAAATAGATAGAAAGACATAAGGTCAACATTCTATTTCCAAACAACACTACTATTAGTATTTTTTTTGCATAATTTCTAATGCAGTCTAGTGCTGATAAACAGTAAACTAGGCCTACACTACAGTATAGCACATGGTCATAATCTATAAATCCAACTTCGTCACATGTTGCAATACACAACTCACTATTTGTAATCAGTAACATTAACCTTAACTAACTAATGTATTAGGCCCAAGCCTTTGGTGGGTTTGCACATAACATTTATTGAGCCGAATTATTGATGTAACCTTTTTCCCTTGATTTTCTAAACAAGATGGAATTCTCAATAGCTGTGGCACGATTAGAGAAATTAATCTATAAGACCATTTTTTCCTTTTTATTAGTTGTATTTTTGTGTGCCAGCAATATCAAGCATGGGGCACATGTTTACATGTTCGATTTTATTACTCATCAGGATCTCTACCAGCCTACCCTCAAATTGAAATTCTTTTAGTCAGAATTAGAGTAAATTAATCTACGAGACCTTTGGCATGGTTAAATACATAAATCATAAGGGCTTGACCTCCTGGGTCCTAAACTGTAATTTGATCTCAAATTGGTCAAGAGATGAAAGAGCTATGAGCTAAAAGTTTATACTTGAAAAAAACTTAGTCATTCTATGAGCTGCTAAAAATCAGGATGTAATCTACATATTTATCAATTAAAAAAAAGTTCCAATTTCTGGCACTTGGCTGCCATAGAAAAAAGTTTCATAGCATTCTCTCTCCTAACTCATTCCTTTGCTGGCATGTTTAAAGCAAGGAGTATTTGCTGTTCCACACTTCACTCTGAACAGTGTATGTATGTGCTGACTTTGATCGTCATGTACTGTTATCGTTGTGGGTCTTTGTGTAAGCTCTGCGGGTTTGTTGTTTGAGTGTCGAGTTGAATTACTTGCTTCTACTAAGATTCTGTGGTATGTATGACTCAACAAGCTGCACAAATGTTTTACTCGAAACAAAGCGAAAACTTCACTCCCTCCACTACGTGCATTTTATGTTACATGTTATTCGTAACAAGGTAGTTTCTGTAGGTTTTAAGTCCAGTGTTTGTGATCCCCAGTGGTTTTCCATTTACTGCAGTTTGCAATACAAATTTGGATCGTGAGGGCACAGTGGCCAAAGGGATACCAAAGGGTGGCCATCGTGGCTGTGGATTTTAGTAATTTACTGAGGGCACCAAGACCATTTTTAAAAATATAGCGACAATTGCCATCGTGGTTGCTGTGAATTTCCTGCTCTACTAATAGGAAGCTACCATTAATTAGAAATATTTTAATCTCGTTGTTGATAAATAAAGGAAATTAAGTAAAAAATATCATTCAGAAAAAGTTGTTTATATGACTTGTGTTATAAACACTCAAATATAATAATAATCAAAACCTGTCTTAAATGTAGTTTTAATCAAACTTCTTTTGAACCATTAATTTCCTTCATATTTTGAAAAGTTGACTCGTAGCCTTCAACTAATAAAAAATTTTATTGCTTTCTTTTGTCTTCTACATCAATCTATTGGTGAAGCAATGGAAACAAAGTGCATTTACCTTAAACAGTTTTCTTGGCAGTATTAATTGTGAGCAATTGCATTATTTAATGGCCACCAAATGGTATAGCCCTCCAACCTGATAAGCTCCATTATATTGACTCATGTCAATTCTAAAATTTCAAGAATTATTTATTGCTGAAGAATTTTAAAAAATGGTATTAGCTAGTTTATAAACCTTATATTGTTACTTAAGTACTAAAAAATTAAAGAAGAAGAAATTTTAAATACATGAAAAACTAGTTTAAATGAAATATTGCTTCTGCCCAACCCTTTCTGTGATTGGAATTATACAGGTTTGGGTGCTGCAAGTTGGAGCATGTTCATCGGAATACTCGTTTGCTTTCTTTTTGGTAGGCACATTGTCATTTTCACATCAAGTGAATTATATCATACATTTACTTCTTTTGTGAGCCAAATTAATTTTTATCAGAACTGACATGTTCCATACTTAACCCTCAAATTACTGATATGTTTTTATACTGTTTACTGCTAGTGAGATCTACATATGCATTTTTAATTGAAAGGAAATCTCTCATTTTCAATGCAATACATAGAACTCCATCAGTGGGATGAACTGCAGTAGTAGTGATATTTTTGTTTAAATATTTTTATCTGACTTGTATGTTATTAGATACTGTATAGCCAATGAAGTCATGGATCCACAAGCAATTGGGCACATAAATAATTTAGAAAAATATATTTAAAATTCCAGTGTGCCCTCATAAGTTATTCTAGTGTAAAAGCTAACTTGAAGTTTAATTATTTGTTATTAAGGTCTTACATACTGAAGATTTGAAAACATGAGGCTTTAATAAATGTTGATTAATATGCCATATTTAGTTTTGGAATTTTACTCATTGAAGAAGTACATCCTCTGTTGATTTTGTGAATCATCATTTTTTTCTTTTCTCAGTTCACACCCAAAGGTATACAGTAGAGTGAGTTCATTATACTTTAAAGTGACCAGATATTAAGTTTTGCAAAATTCTGGTTCTTCTTTTTAAAAAAAAATGAATTAAATATACCTTATTAATCCTATTAATATAAATATTAGATAAGACTTCCCAGAAAATGATTGGTTCAAATTACCAAATAAACACAGATTTGTTATGATAAAACTGCTGTATTTATTTTTAGATTTTCTGGAATACAACAGACTTGATTCTTGTGTCTGTTGACAAACTACAAATATACTGAAAAAATTTTGTTGAAAAACTGTTTGATATAGAAACATCAGTGAAGTCACTATGGCTTTTATATTATTACTTAGAAAATTTCGTTATTTAAGATAAGGCAGTTTCACCTTGTTTGATCAACTTAAACAATTTTTTATTCTATTTTGCCACTGGAAGTTTGAAATTACTACCAATAAATTACAAGTTTGCAATATGATTACAATGCAACTTTCCCTACTCATCTAGTCAGTGTGTATGCTTTAAATTCAAGTTAAATGACTAATCATGCATGTGTGTGTGTTTAAATAGTGATAGAGTTCAGAACTGGGTGATTAATCAAAATAATCAAATACCTATTAGTGGCATAAGTAGCAGATAAATTGAAAATAGTGTTTTTGATTATTTCAATTATCTAAGTAATTAAAATATTGCCTTTATGTTTCTATTATTATTTTCAGTTAATTAAAGGCTGCTCAGCATAATGGATTATTGCTATTTTTGATTATTCTGATTATCTGAGTCTCATGAGAACTATTGAATAGTTGGATGTAAGCAATTAATGAGTAACAATTAATCAGTTATCAAATTCCACTAATCTCCCAGATCTAATAAAGTTATTTTTTGCTTCCTAAATAGCAGGAAATAAATTATGAAGTATAATATGAAATAAAAAATGGATGTGATTCTATCTCCCTAAAGTAATTGTTCACCCCCACCCCCCACCACCCCCACCCCAGTGGCACAGCGGTATGTCTGCGGACTTACAACTGTAGAATCCAGGTTTCGATACCCATGGTGGGAAGAGCACAGATAGCCCATTGTTTAGCTTTGTGCTTAATAACAAACAAAGAAGTAGTTGTTCTAATTAAGAACTAAGCCTAATTTTTTTATTTGACCACATTTTTAGGTTAGCATACATGTAAAATTAAAAAAAAACATAATGCTAGCAACTAATGCTTAAGTTAGTCAGGAAAAATAAATATTATTGAAGACTCATGTCACAATGATTATGGCATCTTCCTAAGCTACAATTCATTTATCTTTTTGTTGTAGAAAATGTGTTAAAAAAATCATATCCCAGCTTTTGAATAAAACACAACCTTGAACAATATTTTGTTTACCACAAAGCATGGCATTTTTTATCATAAAATCACAAAATTACAGCATATGTAATTCTCATACTAACAACTTCTGAAGTAATTTTTTTACAGTTTATTATTGAAATGTGCAAAAATAACTGAAATGTGTTTAAGCAAATACTTTTTTCATAATTTGAATCGTACTCCTTGTGTTACTTGTGTCTGTTAATACATGGCACTGGTGCTAAAAGGTCAGATAACTTGTTAACCTTAATTTCATATTCAGATATTAAGGTTTGAAACTTTGAAGTTTCTCTATATTATTAAATCCATATTTTTGCACTTAATATCTTTTAGATTGTAACAGCATCATACACAGATCTACAGGACTACACATATTATTTTGTTCCAGCCCCTTGGCTATCTATGAAATTATTGAGACTTCTACAAAATTATCCCCCACCTGGTAAGCTGCAAATCTCATAAATGGTACTTAAGTTTAACGCTTTATCTTAATTACTTTAGTGTTAGGTATTATTGGGTTTATAGCTAAAACATACGTAAAATCAAATACCCAGCTGAAGAAAAGATGTAAAGTTACTTGAGTTTAATATTTTATGTTAATTACTTTAGTGTTAGGTGTTATTGGGTTTATAGCTAAAACATACGTAAAAATCAAATACCCAGCTGAAGAAAAGATGTAAAGTTACTTGAGTTTAATATTTTATGTTAACTACTTTAGTGTTAGGTGTTATTGGGTTTATAGCCAAAACATAACAATCAAATACCCAACTGAAGACAAGATGTAAATTTAGTCACTATATAGTTTGTGTGTGTTTACTAATGCATGTATTTTTGCATACACAAATTGTTTGTACATTCGTGGATAATTAGACTTTAAAATGTTTGTAGTATGTGTATAAATAGTGACATATATAGATATAGTTGTGTGAGTGTATGTATTGTGGTGTCTACTTCAAAAGCCTTTAACAGTATTGTTGCTATTTTTGATGGTATTAAGTAACTTCTTATAGTATACTACACTGTCATCTTAGTATAGCAAATCATTATTTTTAACAAAACTTGTGAAATAGTTCATACATAATGTCTTGAAATATACTGATTCAGAATGGGCAAAAATAAAAGAAAATATTTCAGGTCAAACTAATGTCCAAACGTTTGATGTTTTTAAGGATGATGTCATATGAAATATGATTGTTTTACAAGTTTTTATGTCTTTTGTTGTTGTTTTTATAGAGGACCCAGGAGTTCGAGGGAGACTCATAGAGTGTCTTGAGACCATTTTAAATAAAGCACAGGAGCCTCCAAAATCTAAGAAGGTTCAACACTCCAATGCCAAAAATGCTGTTCTGTTTGAAGCAATCAGCCTGATCATTCATATGGATAGGTAAAAGCACTCTAATTTGTGAAAGAATTTGATACAGCATGATTGAATATGCTACTTGTATAAATTGAACAGCACGCTGTAGGAAATAAGTTCTAAATGAATGAAAATTGGTGAATTTTGCAATTTCCATGAATGTAAAAAGGTTAGATAAGCCTCAGTATCCATAATTTTTCCTGAGGTTTTAAAATGAAACTATTTTTTCCTCATAACAACTCATACAAGCATACAAATTATTTTTAGCACCAAAGAACATAGAACTCCCACCCCTAATTTCACTTTCTATAATCATCAACAAAAATTATTATCGGGGAAAGTTTAATAAGATTAGAAGACTGAAAAACCTGAAAATAATAAAAGTACAAAAACACAAATGGTAGATGCAAGCATTTCTTTTTATTTGGATAAAACTTTTATAAGAAAAAATAGTTTGTGTTTTATGATAGTATAAAACATTGTCATAGAATAGTATCACCCTTACGGCTCGGTGGTAAATCTGAGAGTTTATGATGCTAAATATTAGATTTTGATACTTGCATTGAGCACAACACAGACAACCCATCTTAGCTTTATGCTTAATATCAAATAGAAGAGTAATACTTATATTTATGTAGTTTTGATAAATAAATACTTTATGTAAGTTATGATTAAAAGTTTTATAAAAGTTACTGTTTTTCTTTTCAGTGAACCAAATCTCCTTGTTAGAGCTTGTAATCAGCTAGGCCAATTTTTGCAACACAGAGAGACAAATTTGAGGTATTTCTTTCCTGGATGTGGTAGTGATATGTGGTCAAATGTTTTTTATACCTTTGCTTCATGGAAGTAACATAAATGCAGTTATTGTTTCTGTAGTTGAGTATTTGTTTTATGCACCTTAGTAGAGATGAGTCATATTACCTTATGCATGTTTTTAAATGTTTTAGTGTTCAAAATATTTGCATAAATGTGTATGCAGGCAGTTATGTGAGTTGTGTATTGCAAGGTTTGTTAACCATGTTGACACCTTTTCTTAAAATTGATTACTTTGCAAAGAAGTTAGTAAATTAGTGTGAATAATTTCATATTCCAGATTTATTATCTGTGGAAATTCAAACTTTACTATTATATTTTCTTCTCATGTAGTCTGTTTGAAAACTCTGTCATGAGCTAATATCTTTATACATACATACTTACAAGTGTGTGTTAGAAATAATATAAATATTGTGTGTTTATTCTATAGCCTTAATTTTCCCATAATTTTTGTGACTTTCTGCTAGTAAGGGATTGGCTGTTTGATGGTATCAGACATAGAATAGTGTATTTTTCAAAGATTTTTATCATTTCTAAGTACTTAAATTATGGTCATTAAGTTTATTTGATTGGTGAGTTTAAAGAAGTGTGTATTTTGTGAAAACAAAATTTATTATTACTTTCTCAGGTACTTGGCCTTAGAGAGCATGTGTTTGCTGGCTACATCAGAATTTTCTCATGAAGCTGTTAAAAAACACCAGGAAACTGTTGTCACTGCCCTGAAGGTTCGTTGATATAAATGTCCTCAACAACATTATTGGATCGTTGTTAACTCTTTTGTTACTGACTCGCTGGATTTCACCCACCATAGTACCATCAGAGTTTCCATACTATAACCTTTAACATGTTTTTTGTATCTTCACAAACTTTTTCAAACTTTTAATAGATATTAAAAGTCTTTTGCAAGCAAAAAAATAAGAATTTGTAATTAACTATTTTTACTAAACATTTGCCCCTGAATATTTGATTTTTGTGATGAGATAAAACATACTTTTCTTCATCTGAAAATTTTCAAATTTCATTTGCATAATCTCTACAGTATTCTAAATAAACACAAAACATTTTTTTTTTCCAGAAAAACTTTATATTTTATCTGTTATTTTCTCTACCCTAACCTATACAAAGTCAGTCAATTTGACCAACCTTGTAACTGCCATAAACTTTAAAGGATGAAAAATGTCAAATAAAGTGAGTAGTACTATTTTATTCTCTTTGATATTGACCATGAAGTTCCAAAGTACTTCCAATGAGAGTTTGTACTTCAAACTTTTTCACATCTATTTCTTATGTTTATTTTACTATTAGCAGCTGAAGTGGAAACATGCCAATCATAAAGCAGTGAATCACTGCTCCTGCCATTAGACTGTTTACATGACTCCATCAATAATAAATAAGTTTTTGCAGTGCAATTACCAGGCCCTTTCCCACAGAATTTATCTTAATCCTGGCTCCAAAAACACAGTGGGAGAGAATTTATCAGCTTGTTTATAGTACAGTGGTTGCAACAAGAATTGTCTAAAATAATGAAAGTGTGAGAAAATGTTTATGATATGGCTCTGTACAAAGTCCATGCCAATCCAATAAACTTGGTAGGTATTTGGATGTTAGTTATTCTCCAAGGGTGTTCAGAATTTAGTAGTATAAGTGTGTAAGTGCTTATGAACATGTGTATATATTACAACTGTTTACTCATAAATGATTCATTATTAGTTATTTTCCTTAAAACAGAACAATAAATAAAAAATATATAGAAAAACAATGATTCCTAGCACTTAAGATGTTACAAAAGTGATATGTAGTGCATCATACTTGCTAAGCCTTGTTTATTCTCTCATGTGGAGGGAAAATCAAAATTTCTCTAAGTTTCAAAGATGCATTTTAGGAAGCCACAAAATTATCAAATTACTATACTGGGACACACAAAACCACTGTAATGTATGAGGCTTTCTAACTAAGCTATATGTGGGTTAAAAAGATTAATTTCTGCTCAGAGCAATGACTTACTCAATAGACTTCAACATTTCCTGTCAGTTACTAGTTTCCCCTTCAAGCCAATTACAAAAAACTTTCAGATTTATGTAGTTTGGAATGTGCTCATTCTATTGGTTATTAACATGTACTTAAAAAAGGTAGGCGTGAGTTGACAAGAGGTTTCAAAGATTGGAGTAGTGGGTGGGACTACCCTTGTAGGTTTGCAAAAGATATTGACATCTCAGCAAATCAAAGCAAAATAGTTGGAGGTTCTTATTTTATACTCCAGCTTGTAAATATCTGAAGGTTGAGTTTTTAGTTCATTAACCACTATAGACATTGTATGGTAGGCATAATGAAGTATAAACTGAGCAATAAGATGAGATATGACATTTAAAAGCACATTTGGCTTTTATTTTAAATATTTTCTTTCCAATTAAAAAATTAAAGCATATCTTAAAAATTGAATTATAGATTACACTATGAAGTTATTAAATTATATTTTGAAAATAACTGAAACATTGTGATATGCATCCTTTGACCTGAGCTTTGAGAGAGGGTTAATATATGTGTAATACATATAGAAAATGTCTTATTATTTTATGATTATAATATTCTTACACATTTTCACTGAGTGATTTTTCCTTTGATTAAGATATTTTGGACTTTGTCTACATTATATATATAAAAATATATTTTGAATCATTTTAGTATTATTGTATATACACCTAATGTATTTACAGTTTACAAGTATCATTTGTTTATTTGATAAACTTGTTATAATGTTTTAAATTATAAAATTTTATTTTCATGTTAAGACTGAAAGAGATGTCAGTGTCCGTCAGAGGGCAGTAGATTTACTGTATGCTATGTGTGATAAAACTAATGCTGAAGAAATTGTTGGAGAGATGTTGAATTACCTGGAAACAGCTGATTATTCAATACGTGAAGAAATGGTAAACTAGCCTTTCCAAACAGTCATTTTGATTAGCATGAGTTGAATTTTATGTTGGAAACTGTAGAGCCCACTGAACTTGTAACTTTTGTCTAATTAGGAGCACATAAAATGTTTTTGTCTTTAAATGTTTTTATTATTACTTTATCACTTTTGTTTTCAAAATATGTTCATTATTCTGAATTGTTGAACAAAAAATATCATTTCTTGATATTTTCCTATAAAATTCTTGAACATTGTAAAAAAAACTCAGTATAAGATATAAAAATGCAATGATGATATTGTTACATTTTCCCATTATTTCCCACTATTAAAAACTTCAAGGTCACATAACATTACACGTGATTGTTTCTCAAAATTTTGTGCATTTAGTTTTTTAGGTGATGAGTTTCATAAAAGAAATTGAGTATCAAGTGTTGATTTATTTCAGTGTGTATATGGTTATTACATTTCTGTGCAGTATGTTTCAAAACCTTGTTAAAGACAGCATAAAGAGCCTGTCAGTAATGATGCTGCAGTTTTCCAATCTCACACTGTCAGTTAGCATCAGTAGATTCTGAAAAACATTTTGCTGATGTCATTAGACCAATGAAGATATTACAAGAAAAACTGGGTGAATTAATAATCATTACTCCATGGTTCATTTTTTCACAATGTTCAAGTATATGGTTCTGGAAAGTATAAAATAAATCTATAAACTTTATTGCTTGGAAAAGATAGCAGAAAACATCCAGATACAGCAAATCAATGTTCTTAACCATGTAAGGAGTACATAAGACTCCAGAATGTCACAAATATTTTATTTCATGTTTTAAGCCATCAGCTTTCTACTCATATCTTTTATATTCTACCCATAGTGATAGATACCATAACACATATTATGCATGGCAGTATGTAATTGGCAAGAAAGAAACTGAATTTAAACTTCTCAGTACACAAAAGAACAGAAGGGCCAAAGTTTGATAATTAAACTTTCATACAGACATGTATGAAAGAATGGCTTATATACAAAAAATTTAATTGTCTTATACAAATAAGTGATGGTAAGAAAGCATGTGTAAATAATATAAAAGATATTAAAGAATTGATAAGTTACAAAGTTGAACAAATATATATTGTACAATGTTAGAAATGTACAATTCAGTTATCAGTGACACTTATTTATTGTTGTATTACATTGCACCCTGACAAAGGCATAAGATGAATATTAAGAAATTACTTTTTCTGAAGTTGAAAGTCATTTCTTTTTATTAGATGCATCAAATTTACTTTGTTAGCTTTAACACTCTGCACACTAAAATCTATAGTTTAATGAGTTTACAAAGAGTACAATATACAGTTTTTTTAAAGGTACAGGTTTTTTAAAAATATAAGATAATCCTGTCAGTAAATAAAAGTAACAATTTTCTAGATTTTATAATAGAATTACCAAATTAACATCCCTTAAGGTCTGGACAAAATGCATTAGAAGCATTAACTTTAGGTACTGACTAATGCTTTTTGTTATTATTTTACAATTATGAGGCATTTTATTTTATTTCTTGTAATATTATTTTTGTGTATTGTTTTGTAGGTTATGAAAGTTGCCATTCTTGCTGAAAAATATGCCTCAGACTATACCTGGTATGTAGATGTTATTCTGAATCTCATCCGCATTGCTGGAGATTATGTTAGTGAAGAGGTGAGAAATGATGCTTTTTTGTAGATCATGTAATTTTTTCCAATCTATTAAGTATTTAAGTTTAGAAAGATGCAGAAGTTAAAAGTACAAAATTTATCTGCAAAATAAAAAAGGATCAGCTTTACAAGTTTACAATTTGAAGAAAATGCTTTATTTTTTACATACCACAATTTCCATTCATAAGCTCAGTAAATTTGGCCAATTAGGTATCTATGAATCTATCCTTAATAATGTTTGCTATAATTTAGAACTTACTACGTGTATATTCATGAAGTTTGGCAAGCTTTTAGTAACGTACTAGTGTGTTGTACATAAAAAAAAAATCTGATTTTTGGATAAAGTACTTTTACTAAAGATTTCCCAGAAATTATAAAGTCTTTACTGTGTCAGCCTGAGTGAAAGATGATTTTCATGCTAAGAATAAAAATACTTTTTTCATTTTAAAGTTTCATGTTTTTGCATAACCTCGTAAATGAACATAAAGTTTTGGTTTTGTTTTTTTGGTAAAATTTTATATTTATCTTATTTTCTCTACCTTAACACTAGCTCAAGTGAAATCGTCAATGTACAGTGAAATGAAAAGTTGAAAGCTATGAAATAAAATTAATAATATTTTTTCTCTACACTGACTGCAATGTCTTTCAGAAATTTCCAAGTTTCTTATCTTACAGTCAACTGTTAACCTTTGTCACATTTGTTTTCTTTTAATTTTATGGTTTTATTACCATATTTTGTACCACTGGACCAGTAATCCTTGGATAAAAAGCAATAAATTATAGTTGGAACTCATTAGTAATTTTTGGAAGAGCTAATGCATGGGTGAAAGTTCTCCATCTATCAAAATTAGAGGCATGATTACAAAGCATGTTTTAAATCTAAAGTGAAATAAACACATTTTGAGTTTTATTCCAAACGCTGTTCTAATCTTTATTGATTTAAACTTCAACCCATTTTCATATGTACAAGGAAAGGGTATTAGCTAAGTATTTCAGTGACATGTTTATATGCAACTGAAATTTGTAAAAAATTTATTAAGCATACATGTAAAAGGTTTAAATTTCTGAATTTCTTTTTTCTATAAAGTCAAATGGAAATAAGATTCTGATAGTTGTTCAAAATGTCTCAGAATGCACCCTTAGAACACATACACCCCAAAGGTGTTTGGTGCGGCCAAAGTCCCAGCCAATATATATGATTTAGTCAAAATGTTCATTGTACATTTTCATCTGTACTAATGTAAGCATCACATAATTGTGTGTTTTTGTGCAACACACACTGGAGTTAGTGAAATTTTATAAATTTTACTGGAGTTTTGTTAGACTAAGCTGAGAAGTTTCTAATTTTTTAACAATAAATAAAAGCAAAGATTTGTAGTACTTACTGCATAGCATAATTGAATTAAAGATGTTTCTTCATAAGTCTTCTTCAGTCTTGCAAGTTTTGGTGTCCAAAAACATATTCATGTAGCTTTCAAATACACACTTAGTAGCATAAAGATGTACATCAATCGCTAAAATAGAATGTTTCAAAACTCTTGTAATTTATCTGACTTTCTAGAGTAAGCTGTAAATAGATTTTAAAAATTCCTTGGATATTCAGTGGAGAAATACAATGTTTGCACTAGAATCATATAGTCATAATGAGCCTTATGTAGATAAGAATCTATTCTTCCTATTGGTTAAAACATCCATCAACTCTGTAAAGTTGATTAGTTAAACAATCTCAAATATCAATAAGAGAAGGGAGGGTGATTTGACAAATGTACTTGTACTTCAGCAAATAAAAAAGGTGGGGGTTAAAATTTTATATTCTTGCTTTTATTATGTACAGTTTATATTTCAAATTAGTTCAAAACTGCAGTAGCCTATTTTTGATGTTAGAAAATTCTGCAAAAGAGAAATCTGAGCTCATTTGCATCACAAGACAGAAAAATGAAGATTGGGAATTTTTTCGATGCTTATTTTGGAAATTATAAAGTTAAAACAGATAATATACAAATTTGAATTATAAACTATGTTTTAATGGCAATTGTACTGACATAAATTGATAATAAAATTGCTTAATTTAACTTTGTGAAATATTGTGACATGTGCAAAAGAGCCAGGCCTAAATGTTAATGGTAAGCAGTTAGCTTGGTCTTAACCTGCATTCATATTGCAAGTTAAGATGGAATGTAATATTGGTTATTTCTGCAGGATTGTATTTCTGTTACATTTAGTTCAAGGATATAAATACATTTTCTGGATTAAAAGTTCCCCATTCAAAAGCTGAAACTATCATCATACTTTCCTACAGCTATTACTGTATGAGGTAGAAGATGGAGAAACTGAAGATTGTATATTAGTTTTGTAATATTTATATATTTTAAGCCATTAACAAGCTTTACAGAATTTGGTATCAAACCAATTGAAAAAGTTTTCAGTTTTCTGTTACTTAAAAAATGTATGATTTTATCCTTGTGATAAGCTCAAACAATTGTTTGTAATAAGAGACATTTTTATTCTTATTATTAAAATAACTTCAGTGTTCACTATAACCTTTTGTTTAGCATTGCTTGGTATCAAGACTTAAGCTCTCTATTAGTGGTGCAGGTACACCATTTTCAGTCTCAGTCAGTTCACACCCCTCTGGACAATGTTCCAACTATCTAGACAAACTTTCTGTTATTAGAATCGATGGAAATTATTTGTTGTTTTTTTTAGAAAGTAGTTTCACTTGGTATCTGGTAGTTACAAATTGATAAGAAGCCTCATTATTTCAAACAAAACAGTTAAATTATTACTAAACTTAATTTTATCAATATGCTTACTTTCTTTTTAAAACACTTATTTACTAAATATATATATTTCACAAACACTTACCATCTAAAGATAATATTTATCTAATTCAACACAAAGCTTAAAGTTTGAATTCATCTACAATTCAGTGCAATCAAGCATTATTTGAAAACAATAAAAGTAATTTAATCAATCATGAAATGCTGATTCAGTTATATGTTTAAGCACTTGATGAATACTTAAAGGTGGCAATGCAAATAAGTCTACCAGTTGATTGGCAGTACACCAAAATATATCATTAATTGTTTGTTCCTCAAGCACCTTAAAACAGCTAAGTGACAGCATTGGTCATCTTGAAGATTCAGGAAGGTGATACCCTTATGTTACCGTGTAATGTTTATGGCTTATGCTTACACAAAGTAACTTTGAACATCCCAGAAGTATTTTCCTCGAAAAAATATGTTTATCCCTCTCACTTTGTTATACATACAATAAACTAATATTTATTTGATTATGGAAGTATTAGGTTGTCAAGAAATTAATGTAGCATTTTGGAACACTTTCATTAACCAGCCCCCAAAAAACCTACATCAAGTATAATAGTTAAATGAACTGCCTAAACATCACATTAGTGTAGCCTATATAGTATGTAAAGTTTAGTTTACTGTAATCCCTTATAGTGATGGCACACAATAAGAGACACATTCGGCATGTAATGCTATTTGAATACAAGAAGGGAAAGAACGCCTCTGTAGCCACAAAGAATATCAAGGAAGTTTATGGAAATGTTTTGAACATTCGTAAGTGTCAATGATGGTTCAGCAAATTTCGTTCAGGAGATTTTAGCCTTAAAAAACTGTGATGACAGGGGCCAATACATTGGAATTCATATTGTTTCTTTGAAGAGTCTAACCCAAGGCAACACACTCATGAAATGGCTCTGAAATAGCATGTCTCTCATGAAACAATATGTAAACATCTAAGGAACATGGGAAAAATCCATAAAAAAGGTGTTTGGGTGCCTCATGAACTCTCCAATGACCATCGTTTCCAATGTGTGAATGTTGCTTTGTCTCTTCTGTCGTGCGAGCCATTCGGCGATGAAAAATGGATTCTCTATATGAATATTAAATGCCGAAAACAATGGTCAAGTCCAAGACAAAAGCCATTTCCGACCCTAAAACCTGGACTCCATCCACAGAAAGTGGTGCTTTGCATTTGGTGGGACATCAAAGGAGTAATTCATTTCAAACTCCTTAATCCACAGCGAACTGTCAATGCAGAGATCTATAGCTAACAACTGAAACATATAAATCAAGCCCTTCATCAGAAATGCCCTTCACTCGAAAACATGTTCTTCTCCACGACTATGCACGTCCACAGGTGGCACGTTTGAAGCAACACAAGATTATGGAGTTGGGTTGAGAATTCCCCACCACCATATTCTACAGATATGGCACCATCAGATTACCATCTTTTTTTGTTCGCTGCAACACCATCTTAATGGGAAAAACGTAAGCAAATGTGGAAGGTGTTAAAGAGGACATTGACATGTTTTTTGCTTCAAAACCAAGTGATTTCTTTAATCAGGGCATTAACAACCTGACTGTAAGATGGAAAAGCATCATCGATAAGAATGGAGACTATTTCATTAATAAATGTTTTGTTTTGATATATAAGTTGTTCGTGTTTTTTTTTTCATCTAAAAAAAGCGACATTAATTTCTTGACGACCTAATATTTTCTCTTGACAGGTTTGGTACAGAGTTATACAGATTGTCATCAACAGAGAAGATGTTCAAGGGTATGCTGCCAAGACCGTTTTTGAGGTACGTCTTATGTGGGTTATTTCTGTAACGAACAAAATACATTTTGAGTGAATAGTTTGCACACTTTCTCATAAGGGCAGAAGATGTAAAATAAAGAGACTCAAAACTCAACAGAATTAATTACAGAAAAAGTGATAAATCATCTAAATTAAAAAAACACAGAAAAATGTTTGCTTGATTCAAGGATACGTGTAATGCAACTTAAGCAAATGAAAAATTATTCTGGTTGAAATAACTGGTAGTTTTAACAATAATTTTGGTTGGTATAAAGGCCAAGAGGTTCCATATAGTACATTTTCATAACTATTGATTTATATGAAAAGCTGATTATTCTACTAATTATTAAAATTATTTGGATTAAGAAATGCTTTTTAGGTACATACAAACATTGGGAAGTAGCAGAACTTGAACATGTAGCCTGACCTTAGCACTACGGAATACAACATTTTTTATTTGGTTGTTTGTTTTTTAGTCTTTGCAGGCTCCAGCTTGTCATGAAAACATGGTAAAAGTTGCAGGATATATTTTAGGAGAATTTGGAAACCTGATTGCTGGAGATCAGCGATCAAGGTAAGTTAAAACTTCTTAGCTTGTTGAGAGTAAAAGTCATACTTTTTCATACTACGATAGTGTTTGATGCCAATGGCTAGTGTATAGGTGTTACATAAGTAAGGTAGTACTCTATTAGTTCTTTATTATTACTTTCATTAACAGTATTGGTTAGAATGTGTATTATATCTAATTTTATTTTTAATTTTTATTGTTATTATTACACTTTTATCATAGAGATTTCATTTTTAATCTTACTAGATGTATTTAGGGTTAACCTAAATCTCTGAAGCTGGCTAAACATCTTGAGATATATTGATTTATGGCTGAAAATGTTGTTAATAGTGAGGTGAGGGTACCCAACTGATGAGAAATGTATTCTAGTCTTTATAGGTAAGAATGTAAGAAATGTGTATCTAATTAGCCACGCTCATCACCAAGTTAATTTTTAATTTTTCTATAAGTAGATAGCTTGATCTGATCAGAAGTTAATGATAAAGACCAAATTTAAACTTCATATTACAATAAGAAAATAAATATATTTAACACATTGAAAAAATATTTGAAGAAATAAATTTAATTTGATTAACAAGTCAAAGCTAGAAAAAAGAAGGGTTAACAAAATAATTAAAAAGCAAGAAAAGTCTACACTATAGGGATAAATCAATTTGATTACAAAAAAAAACTAACTTAAAAATAAGCCAAAAGCAAGAAACTTTTATTCTACAATAACAGTGATCTAGATAAGTCTTAGATTGATAGGGAAATAAATGGTAAAGTTAGTTTAACGTTCATATAATAATAAATATAATTAAAAAATAATAAAGCTTCATTATTTGTTTTACAAACAAAGATACAAGTAAGTTTTAGTTTCGAAAGTAAATATAGTTTATTTATGTGTACAATATAATCTGATTGAAATTGTAGTTTAATAAATATATAAAGCTGGATAATTGTAAGAGAGTTATAATTAATCCAGAGGTTGAGTACATTGTATTAATATGACTTTGGAGCCTCACTACATTCTTACAATCCATTTTGCCATGTATGATCACCATGCATCTTTGACGATAGCCCTGCAGCATAATTTCCATTACAAAAGGCTCTATCATAAAGCTGGCATGCTCAAGTTACACCCTTCTTCCCTGCAGTTTTCCATAAACCATGTAGTGTATAAAAATAAGTTTCCTAGCACCCATTTCTATAGTCCAATAACACAGAAATCCATAGGCATTGTGTCCATTAACTTGACTGATAGTCTTTGTTTGGAATAACATGAATACCCATTTCATTCTCTAGCTGCATAAGATATATGATGATTGAGCTGATATGTAATGGAAGCAACGTGTGTCAGTTTTCTAGAATGAGATCCATCTTGGTTATGTTTCACACTGTTACCTGAGATATATGGACAGCTTTAGCCACTGATCTTAGTGTTCTTGAATTCTCACCTGTTGCAAAACACTACACTTTACTTACAATAGCTGGGGTATGACTTGTTGCAGGTCTCATTGTGGATGGTCCTGGGTCCCCAAGTTGATCTATATTTCTTTGTTTCCAATGCCATTAAGTATAAGGGATCTCCCCATCTCAGAAATTCTAAATCCGCATTCTGAACATATATTTATAATCTGACTGCATGAATATTTTATATCAGAAAGGGCTGTTACACACCTTTTCCAAAACCAGTCAAATTTCATTGGCATCACAAGCACAATGTAATTTTGATAGATATCATTCCATAGGGACTATATATTAGGTGTAGTTGTAATGTTAATTGCTGACTTGCATATTCAAAATTGTTTTCAGGTAACATACTCAACCATCTGTAAAAGCTTATTTTTATGTAGAAACCCAAAAATGATTGATAGAAAATTATATTTTATTAGATAGAGAGAACTGAATTTCTCTAAAATAAGCTTGAATAAGAATAAAAACTAGAAATGTGGTGATTATTAGTTAGGTTTGATCATTTCTATACACTAGATAAGCAGTGCTGGATCTATCTTTGTTCTGATGTGTTAGAATTTATGCAGTTATAGTCACTAATATTGTAACAGTACTTAGAGTTAGTACATGAAAGATAAAAGTTTAATTTTGTCATATGCTTGTTTCAATTTAAAATATGTTGCATTTATAAAGGCATATTTAACATTACACATTTTACATATAAGCACTTAAAGGTAGATTACTTTGTAGTGTTTACTTTCATTTTAGAAAATACAGTTTCAGTTGATGTTACTTAGTATCTATGTAAATCATGATAAAAATAAATTATCTATACATCTAAGAATGTTTTAGAAAGAACATGTACTAGTTTGGCTCTAGGTGTTCCTGTAGCAGGTAATGACTCATTTTACATAATATAACAAGTTTCAAGTAATGAATTTATCACATGGAACTGTATGTAATGAAGATTTTCATTTTTCACTGAAGGTTGTAGCGTGATCTGAATATAATTAAAGCTAGATAATCGAACAGTAAAAAAACATTCTTAGTACTAGGTACTTGGATAGATCACTAAATTGAGCTCCTTTTTTTGTTGCAGTCCTTTTGTCCAGTTTAACTTGCTACATTCGAAGTATCACCTATGTGCAGCACAAACTAGGGCCTTGTTGCTTACCACGTATGTCAAGTTCGTCAATTTGTTTCCAGAGATCAGAGTAGATATTCAGAATGTAAGTTACAACCTAGAATCATTATTGTATTATTGCTTTATTAGAACAAATAAAGTTATTACAAGTTGGTGTAATAAATGCACTTTTAAGATTTTATTAACCCCCATGAAAGTGATTATTAAGTCCAAAAATAATAAATTTAGTATTATTTATTTGTTATTGAGACACAACATAGATTCAAAACTTGCATTATACTTAGTAACCTAGTTGTTAATATTGTAGTTAGTGTTTGTTTGAGGTTTTGATTGCATTATTTAGGATTTTGTAGTAGAAAAACATACCTACTGTTTAATAATGGCTGGAGACAGCTTGAATGGGTAATGAAGAAAAACTTTAATACAAGTTTAACATAACAGCAAATGTACATCGTTTTGACAAAGTTTTGTCATCATCAGGTACCTACTGTTTTTGTACATCATGTGCTTGTAATTCACTCAAAACTTTTTACAGTATGAAAATTTAAATGGTGTATTTGAGTGTTTTACACTCACAAAAAAGAAACCTATCATTCTATAG